GGGTTGAGGTTTTAGGGTTTTAGGGTTTTAGGGTTTGGGGTTTAGGGTTTAGGGTGTTGCTGTTTAGTGGTTGTAGCATGGCCTGGCTCTCCATAGGCGGCCTTCTCTGCCCTCCTGCTGCGTGTCACGAGTCTCGTTGCCTGGTGCAGCCACATGGGCTCCAGCTGAGCTTCGGTAAAGATGAAATTTTCTAAAAAAGGCTTGCTAAAAAAGACACAGCTAAGGTAGGGGCCTGAAGAATTCGAGTGGGGTTTTGGGGGGTGATTATAGTAGAAGTGGGACCATCAGGCCAATAGAATTAGTAACGATTCCGACCCCTTGCTAAGTCATATGATTGCACAGGCAGAGGCAAAGGAGCCACATCAAAGACTAGTTGCGCTATGCTTCCCACGCGTGCGCGCTCACGCCGCCTGCAGCCTGAAATGCCCAAAGACTGGTGCAGTGCTCAGAACATGTTGGGACTGGCCGAAAGGAGATGAAGGGAGACTACTGCATGGCAGTACCAGTGCCGCTTCTGTTCTAACTTCGGGTCGGATCATGGAGCAGGGTTTCTCTTAAGATTTTGTGTGAGTGTGGAAAGGGTTTCTCGTAGACATTTGCGCGTGTATGTTTCGGGTGTCCATGTGTGGATAGCAACAATACAAAAGATCCTGCCTCATACAGACAGTTTTGTTTTGCGCCGGGGCTAGTCTCATTTCAGGTCTGAGGCTGTCGTGCTCCTTACCCTAAACCCTACACCCTAAACCCTAAACCCTTCCCCCCCCCCCCCCAATGATTTCAATCCAACATGGGCTGCACTGGAGTTCAGGACCTAGGGCTAGTTCTGCAAGGTTTCAAGTTTGGGGTTTAGGGTTTAGGGTTTGGTTTTTGGGGTTTGGGGTTTAGGGTTAAGGGTTTGGGCTTGCTTGCACACGATGCAGGCCCCCTGGACAGACACCCGGCCCAAAACCCGCTTGCAGTTCGTTGCAGCACTGTGAGGTCCTGCCAAGACGTCCGCGAATGGCTTTTGTCTAATGGCCATCCAGAGGCGGGATGCTTGTTACCCTAAACCCTAAACCCTCAACCCTAAAACCCTAAACCATTTGGGACGGTTCGGGGTCTATTTTAGGGGTCCCCTATTTTTTTGTAAAGCCCCATATATGTGTGTTTTGCTCTACCTCCTTTGTTTCGCAGGTGGCCCTGGCTGCTTTTCAACGAAAGGTGGAAGGCAAAATGTTGCCGCATCTCGGCCATGAAGGCCAGCTATTTAGGGTTTAAGGCTTAGGGTTTAGGGTTTAGGGTTTAAGGCTTAGGGTTTAGGGGTTAGGGTTTAGGGTTTAGAGCCGGGCTCATTCATAATTAAGGACGTGTGGTGAGTGAAAGGGTTCATCATCACAATTCATCATCAGAAAGCATCCCGATTGCGCTTAGGCCTTTTGTGCTCACTTACGGTAGCAGCTCCCGACTTAAAGTTCGAAGCATTGCAGTACTGGCACAATTTTCATCGGGTTTGGAGTAGGGAATGTTGGGAAAGAACGAGGACATTTGCTAGATGGTGCTGAGGACACCATACTCAAGTGATGGCAACGATTGCAGTAGTGATCTCAAGCGTTGTCAGAAGACCAAATCTCAGAGTACTTTTTGGAATGAAGTTTGTATGTTTGTGGCCCGTTCGTGCATTTGCTGCGGCGGCTGCCTCTGGCAAATGTTCTTGTCGTCATCGTGTGCCGTTGCGATGAGGATAACGATAACTTGATGGTTGTTGGCTGCTTCGCCTGCTGGCGAATGATTTCTTGCGGGTACAGGAGCCCCAAGGCCTATGGCAACTCCATAACATGGGTACCCAGGCATAGCCCACAAGCCATTATGTAAAAAAAAAACAGAAGTTAAAAAGACTCATATTATATTATATTATATGACATTTTATTATATTATATTACATTATATTATATTATGTTATCTGGCTACTAATATGTATATGTATATACATATGTGTGTATACACATATATATATAGAACTTAAACAAGAAACCACATGGGCAGGATGGAAGGAGCTGGGCCTGAGCTCGGCAGTGGAGCGCGCGAGGCTTCTGAGTGCCTCGGCGAATCTTGAAAAATCGCAGGATCATTCACACCCTAAACTCTAAACCCTAAACTCTAAACCCCAAGTTTAGGGTTTAGGGTTTAGGGAACTCTAAACCCTGAACCTGAACCCCTAACCGAAGAAAGGGTGTTGGGCTCATGAGGCTGAGGGGTTTGCAGTTTGGGGCTTAGGCGTACTGACTATACCTTGCATTCCCCGAATTCTCAACCCTAAGATTCTTGCACAAGGGTTTAGGGTTTAGGGTTTCGGGTTTAGGGTTTAAGCGTAAATTAGGGGTACCCTTCTTGGGAAGATCCTAGCATTGTAGGGGCCACTAAACGAGGCGCCCTGGACGACCTCGGGGACAACTTGGCAAGCGGCTCGGCCCCGGAGTAGGCCCTTTTTTCCTTTTTTTAGGGTTAGGGTTTAATTCCTAGGTTACTCCTGGGTCGAGGCGAGGTCCAGACGGAGAAGGCGCCCCCAAAGACTGGTGGCCCGGTACCGTCCGCGGTGAAAAGCACCTACCTCGCCCGCTTCTCCAAAGTCGCTTCTTGTTGGGGTTTAGGGTTTGGGGTTTAGGGTTTAGGGTCCCTTAGACCAGGGCGTCAGAATCGACGTGACGTGGAAGGCTTGAAGGGAGATAGAGGAGCGACTCACCGAAGTGTTTAAGAGGGCTTCGCCAGGGGTTTCAGAAGCTCTTTGAGGTTTCTGATACTAGAGCCTTAAGTCCCGAGTGAAAAACCTTTTGCAAAGGGCTTTAGAGGCCTATTCGTCAATGCTTGGGGGCGCTCATTGTTCCGACCAGGGTTGGGTTTTCCTAATTTCTTCACGCGGCTGTTTCCACGTGACCTCTCGTTTTGTAAGTTTCCTGTCAGGAAAACCCTATGCAGCTAGGGTTTAGGGTTTAGGGTTTAGGGTTTAGGGTTTAGGGTTTAGGGTTTAGGGTTTAGGGTTTAGGGTTTAGGGTTTAGTTTTTAGGGTTTAGGGTTTTAGGGTTTTAGGGTTTAGGGTTCAGGGTTCAGGGTTCAGGGTTCAGGGTTCAGGGTTTACGAGTCTCGTTTTGTAGCAACTGAGGTGTCGTCTTTGGATGGGCTCGTCTGGTCGGACCACAAGCCTGTCTGGTTCGAGCATCTCGAGAAGTCCGGCAAGACGCCGGAAGAGCTTCGAGAACTGTTCTGCATTCAGCTTGATTCGTACAACTTGATGACTTTGCTGCTGCTTTCTTCCGTCGTCCCGACAGCTACGGGGATTTGTGCGGACATTGGCTGGGATGAGGACGGCTGGCCTGTCGACAAGCTGAAATTCGTGTGCCTGGTGATGAGTTTCGTGTACAGCGGCCTGCTGATCTTACACTTTTGCAATTCGCACATACTGCATCTCCTCGTCTCCGGAGTTAGCCCCGCGAACTATCCTGTCTTCATGCAGGCCGTTGGCAAAGATTATCTCTCCGAGATTGGTTTGGCCTACGTGGTTATACTGTACCTATTTTTTCCCTGGATGTTTTCCTGCATGGCCGTCCTGCTTGGAAAGAATGCCAGCTGGATCGCGTGGGCCGCCTCATTTGGGATCGTGGCGATGTCCTGGGCGTTCCAAGCCAGCCTGATGCCCAAGCTTCTTGGCCGGCACGATGATGGGTCTCGTCCCAGGATAAGAGACACGGCCTTCAACAGCTCACGGCTGCTTCTGCGCCTCATTCTGCACGCCGGCCTTCTACATTCTGACAGGGCACCCCTTGACCCCACGCTGGCGAAGGACGACTTGCTTGAGCAAATGGCTGAGGTTGGCCTGCAAGAGATAGAGCGCCAGCAGCCCCGGGCTGAGGACAGAACCTCTCTGCAAGTTGAACACCAGAAGTTGTGGCATGTTGTGACTAGCGTGATATTCTTCCTTAAAGGGGAAATATAGGGATTATTACCTTTCTTTTTCTTTTTTTTGGGGGGGGGGGGGGGTTCTTAAGCAAATAGTCGTCATCCAGATGGGTGATGTAGCTACCTGCTGTGCCCCACCAAGGATATGAGCCGCTGCTGGAGGATGGCGCATCCGAGACGGGCACGAACTCGTCCTGAATTCTTTTTAAGGGTCCATGTACTCCCTCTAGTATACACTTTGGGCCTTAAGAAGACCTCTTAAGTCTCCAAATAGCTACGTTATAGGGTCCTCTTTCAGGCCCAAATGTATATGATATAGGTGCACGGACCCTTTGGGTCTACCCCGAGCGCGCATGGGATGAAACGTGCGCGCAGCACCACATGGGTTCTGTTGCGGAGCCTGAGGTCATGCCGAGTCCCAGCATGGCATGCCCATTTCGGACTCCTAAGCCCTACACCCTAAACCCTAAAACCCCACACCACCAAACCCCTAAACCCCTAGACCCCTCAACCTTCAACATTCAACTCGAAACTGTAGGAACACTTGATAAGTAGGGTTATAAGTACCCCTAAATAGGGTTAGCAGGATAGTTACTATACTCATAAACCTACTACTACTACTACTACTACTACTACTACTACTACTCCTACTACTACTACTACTAGGGTTGCGCGCCTCAGGGCGCCTGGTGCTTTGGGGTGTGTGAGGTGTTGGAAACCAGGTTTTTTGCGATGTATTTGGACATGTGTGTAAAAAGTCTCAAAACGCGAAGATCGCGCTAACTAATTTTAAGCCCGAAATCGAAGCCCGAAACGCGAAACCCGACAAAACCTAAACCCTACTGTAAACCGTAAAACCTAGGTCAAAGGACTTTTGGGCTTGCACTTGAGGGTTTGGGGTTGAGGCTGTAAAACCTTCAAGCCTAAACCCCAAAAAATTGTCAAAGACAGAGACAGATGTTTTCCTCACGCAGTCTGCACCTTGAGCACTCCCAGGTTTTGGGGCTTTGCTGACAGCCCTTGGGATCATGTAATATATATAGAATATAGAACATGAAATATGTAATATATAACAGACCCCTAGTACACTATTCATCTTATGCTACATAGTATGGAATATGTAATATAAAATATGTATAATATGTAAGATAAAAGAATAGTAATAAGTAACAAGCATCATAAAAGAAAAAAATAATATATCAGGCATACGAAAAATATATTATATTTAATATATTCTGCTTTTGCGCTTCAGGTTCAGGCAGGGAAATTCACGGGCGTACCCAACCCCCCCCCCCCCCCCCCCCCCCCCCCCCCCCCCCCGCAGGAAAAGACCAGGCGCCAGAAAGCGCGCATGGCTACTACTACTACTACTACTCCTCCTCCTCCTGGCACCTTTTTTTCTTGGATGCTGGCTTGTCTTCCGTCAGTGCCAGGCGGAAGCACAGGCTGCCCGAGAACGTGCAGAGCAACAGGCCCTTAGGGTTTAGGGTTTAGGGTTTAGGGTTTAGGGTTTAGGGTTTAGGGTTCAGGGTTCAGGGTTTCGGGTTTCGGGTTTAGGGTTTAGGGTTTAGGGTTTAGGGTTTAGGGTTCAGGGTTTAGGGTTTAGGGTTTAGGGTTTAGGGTTTAGGGTTTAGGGTTCAGGGTTCAGGGTTCAGGGTTTAGGGTTGGAATCTGGAAAATTTACTGTTCGGGTTTCAGTTTTTAGGCAGTTTGCGGACCCAGGATTCCTGGAAACAGGCCCGAGACTCACTGGCAAACCTATGCCCGCAATTGCCAGGTTGGGTCTCAACAGGTGCAGTTTCACAAGGGTTTAGGGTTTAGGGTTTAGGGTTTAGGGTTTAGGGTTTAGGGGTGGCCTTAAGATAATCAAAATAGGGTTTTGGGGATTGTTACAGACCATAAGGGAATTCCATTGGTAATGATTCCGACCCCTAGATTAGGCTGATTCCAGGCGTGGTGCATGACATTGGCATGGGCACATGAGACCATGAAGGCAAGTGCTACAGCTTGCCACTCGCATTCTTCTCTTTTAAACCCTAAACCCTAAATCCTAAATCCTAAACCCTAAACCCTAAACCCTAAAAGCAACCCGGGTTGTGTGAAGATTGGCCAGGCGAGCCTCCAACGCAAGGCCAGCACCGACTCTTGGCTGCATGACTCGCCCTTTGACTCACAGGCATACTACAGCGGTCGTAATAATTGCTACTGGTATTCCCTTATGGTCCCTGCATAACTACACGCCCCGAATCCTAGTCTAATTCTTAAGACCCCCTGTATTAGGGCCCTTTGGGGCGGCTCTTGGTGGGGAGTTCGGGATTTTTAGGAGCCCAAGCGCCTCTGCAGTATGGCAGCCCCTACCGCCGAGATAAAGGCACAAATCCCACACCTAACTGATGTGTAGCGGGGGGCCCTAAACCCTAAACCCTGAACCAAAAACTAGAAAAAACAAAAAGCACAGACACGGCGCTGAAGACTGAAGGTGGCCGCCGAAGAGGCTGCCAGGGCAATGGCTCAGGCTCAGGTCGGCAGTTAACCTTCTGGCTCTTGGTAGGGGATGAGGGTTTAGGGTTTAGGGATGAGGGAATGCCCCTTTGTATACCCTTTAAGGTACCCTTGGCGGGCCTCTGCGGGGTGATGCAGGGGATGTAAGGTACCTCATTCCCTCATTCCCTCATTCCCTCAGATCCGGTAAGTTAAGGGGCATAGTGCTGACCGCGGAGCCCCTTTTAGAGCCTGGGGTTGAGTACACATGTTCTCTCACATTTGGGGGGGGGGGGGGGGTGAGATGCTATGACGACCTACCGTCCTTAATGAAGGTGTTCCTGTTCCCAGATCTCGGTACATCTCGACTACTCAGGCTGTAGAAGCCAAGACTGTGGTTTAGGGTTTAGGGTTTAGGGTAAGTTTAGGGTTTAGGGTTTAGGGTTTAGGGTTTAGGGTCTGAAGTCCTGCCTGTCCACAACAATGGTGCATACAGGCGTCAGCCACAAACAGATCACGAGCAACTGCGCATGTTGGTATGGCACGATGTTTAGGCTAGATTGCGGTCTTGAATAGATCTTCCGCTTTATCTCTCAGGTGTCATGACCCGGGAGGGGGGCCAGCGGGTACCTATTTGCATAACTGAACATGCTCACCCCCCCGTCCCCTACATGGGGATTTCCGAAAATAGGGGTTTCCCTTTGAGGAGATTCTATTCTAATTGGGGTATAAAAAGGGGTTTAGGGTTTAGGGTTTAGGGTTTAGGGTTTAGGGTTTAGGGTTTAGGGTTTAGGGTTTAGGGTTTAGGTACCCCCTATTTTGGGAAGTACCCACATCGGTGCTCCATACCTGAAGAGGCCGTTGCCTCCGCGGCGCAGAAGGAGCGGGAAGCCGTGGAGAAGGCATCACCCCGCACAGTGTGTCATGCTGTTTGTACTTATCTCTAAGGCACGGAAGGTTATTATTATTATGATGATGATTGACATCATTATTATTATCATCATGTCATTGTTATTGTCATTGTCATTGTTATTGTTATTCTTGTTATTCTACCTTATGGGTTTGGGGACTTTTGTTGTGGCTGTCACTAAGTGAGGGTTTGGGAGCCAGCTATGCTTGAATCGACAAGTGTTCAGAGGCCGAGGGAAGTGAGTTCGTGATGCAGTGCCTTATAATCCCTGTATAACCCTGGTAAAGCCTTAAAAAATTTAGCGTTTATAGGTTGGGGTGTTCCCCCACACTAACAGTCCTTCATAGGGATGTTCATACCCCCTATGACAATCCCTATTAGAGTCCCTATTAAGGACTGCTAGTAGAAGGGTGAACATCCCCATTTATAGGGCCCGAAGCCTACCCCATTTAGGTTGCTGCAGGGAGCCGTGCCGCCTGATAGGTTTACATAGGAATTAGACATCCCTGCAGCCACATTGCAAGCCCATGATGGACCCTGTGGCCCCCTTCTAGAGGGTAAGGGCTACTCAGGGGCATCTAGTTCATTATTTCTAGTGTTTGAATGCTCGCGAGTCTGATAAGTTGAGAGATCTTGTGGTCCCTGCCAAGCATACCTTGCATAAACGAGGCGTTGAACGAACCCACCCACCCCCCAAAACATAAAATACAAATACAGAAAATGATGCCTACGATGTCTCATTTAAACACTATTTTGGGAGTTCGAGCTTTGCGCGACTTCCAGGGCTAAGTTTAGGACCGGGCGCGGGGTCGGGTGCTTGGGTCGGAATAATTACTAATCGTTTTCCCTGATGGTCCCTTTATATTTATACTACCGTAGCCCCCAAAACCTTGTTTTCATCATTAAGGCCCCTAAACCCTAAACCCTAAACCCTAAACCCTAAACCCTAAACCCTAAACCCTAAACCCTAAACCCTAAACCCTAAACCCTAAACCCTAAACCCTAAACCCTAAACGCAAAGGAAGTGCTTCCTGGCTCAGGCCAAGGCCGCATGGGAGGCTCGGCAAGCCGAAGAGGCGCTCTTGTGGCGGTAGGGGTTTAGGGGTTCAGGGTTTAGGATTTAGGGTTAGGGTTTAGGGTTTAGGGTTTAGGGTTTAGGGTTTAGGGTTTAGGGTTTAGGGTTCAGGGTTTAGGGTTTAGGGTTTAGGGTGTATATAGGGTTTAGGGGTTTAGGGGTTTAGGGGTTTAGGGGTTTAGGGTGTATATAGGGTTTAGGGGTTTAGGGGTTTAGGGGTTTAGGGGTTTAGGGGTTTAGGGGTTTAGGGGTTTAGGGTTTAGGGTTTAGGGGTTTATAAGGTTTAGGGTTTTAGGGGTTTAGGGTGGAAGCCAGGGCTATGAGCTGCACGCACATTGCTGCAAAGATGGTTCGTACCTGGCTAGCCTACTACGGCGCCAACGTAAGGCGCATACAGGCCACAGATGTACCCGAAACCCTAAACCTTAAGCCATGGATGTGGGTGAATTAGGGGACTTCCCAGGATGGGCAGGGCCTTTTTGAAGGGGATTATAGGGTATAGTCGCCCATCGCAGCGTGATCCCCGAAACCCTAAACCCTAAACCCTAAACCCTAAACCCTAACCCCAAACCCCAAACCCTGAACCCTAAACTTCCTGAAAATGAAGCATCGTTGCTTGCCAAGCTGCCTGTTCGAGGCCGAGGCTTTAAAGGCTGCGGAGCAAGCAAGAGACGAAGCCCCTCGGATTCTTACAGGGTTTAGGGTTTAGGGTTTAGGGTTTAGGGTTTAGGGTTTAGGGTTTAGGGTTTAGGGGTTCATCGCTTAGGGTGGAGGGTGGAGGGTTTAGTTTTTAAGGTTCTTTGGCTCTCCCAATTCATGGGTGGTGCGGGGTGGGGGGCCTGTTTTCTTGTCACTGCGGCCTATCGGGTTCATGTGGCCTTGGTGGAGGGCCCTGGCGGATGCTTGGGCGCGACTCGACCTCGGCTGGGGGGTCAAATGCCACGACCGATATCTAGGGGAACTCTTAGGGTTTAGGGTTTAGGGTTTAGGGTTTGGGGTTTGGGGTTTGGGGTTTGGGGTTTGGGGTTTGGGGTTTGGGGTTCAGGATTTGGGTGCTCGAAGCCCTGTGAAGCACCGTGGGGAGGGGGGTTGCCGGGGCAGCTCAGGACCCCTCAACCTTGGAATCCGTTTTCTCCCGAGCTGCCTCATTTAAGCCGTTCCTTGTGCGAGCTCATCGTGAGGTTTACCGATTGATTGTCTAGCGCCTCGGGTGTAATTAGGGCACCTTCACCTGCCGAAGCTCGCCCGTTCGTCGCCCCATCATTCGTTTCTCAAGTTTCTGCGCGTTCTCAGCTCAGGCTCTTGCCGCTGCAGCCTGCGCTCAGGCCGGCCGAGCATCGCGCTCTCTGCTCGGGCACTGGCTCGAACTCGCAGTGCAGCACGCAGCGTACCTCGCGATGCAGGTCGCCTTCGAAACAGCTGCGGGGGCGGTGGAACGAGCCTTAGTTTACAGAATTGCCGAGGGCAGGGTCATGGAGGATACGGGATGACGCCCAGTCGGTCGACTAGAGGAACTCGACATGGCAGTTGCAAGAATTCTGCATTTGTGCAGCTGAAGTCGTGCACCGAGACGGACGTCGCGTCCTCGCACATGACGGAGGAAGAGCGACAGGCCTTGCAGGAGAAGGCGGAGAAGGACCCCACCGCGAAAGCTTTGGACTTGCTTCCGGGTTCTTTGGGGAATGAAGATAGAAGGTTTCTGATCATAGTGGTACACTTCAGGGCACATTTCTCGGATGAACCTCTGCATGTTGGACTTTCGGAGTCAAGCTCTACCCACAAGTGAAAAAGTCCGAAGTCCAGCTCGAGCAACCAAGTTCAGATGAACATTGGGATTCAATCGGGCCTCGGCGCTAACCTTTATCATCCAGCCCTGCGACTGCTGGCAGGAGCGCCAGGCCAAGGCAGGTGGGATGCTTCCCTTAAACTCAAAGCCCGAAACCCAAAACCGCCTTTTAGGGTTTAGGGTTTAGGGTTTAGGGTTTAGGGTTTAGGGTTTAGGTCCAAGGGAGTCGCTGCAGCGAATCAGTGCTGGCAGAAATCCGAAACTTCACCGGAAGCTGAACCGTTTTGCTCCGCGACCGTTCGCCGAGTTCGCCGCGACAAGCCGCATGGTTACCATGATCGGAAAAGTGATTGTACTAAGAAAAAAGATGCTCACGCTAGTAGTGATGCTGATAATCATGATAGTTAAGACATATACTAGACTAATAACAATAATAACAGTAGTAACAATAATGGCAATATTAACAATAATAACAATAATCAGAACAATAAAAGCAATAGCAACAATATTAACAATAATAACAAGAATAACAATAACAAATGGCAATAACATAATAGTGATGCTAAGAGCGTTAAACCTTAAACCCTACACCCTAAACCCTAAACCCTAAACCCTAAACCCTAAACCCTAAACCCTAAACCCTAAACCCTAAACCCTAAACCCTAAACCCTAAACCCTAAACCCTAAACCCTAAACCCTAATGGAGATGTCTTCTCTGAAGCTGTTGAGGAACAGGCAGAGCAAGCCGTCCAGAAGGCGGCGGAGGCGTTGAAGGCAAGCCCTCGGCTTCTCTCTTCTACTGCCTCAGGTTAAGGGTTTAGGGTTTAGGGTTTAGGGTTTAGGGTTTAGGGTTTAGGGTTTAGGGTTTAGGGTTTAGGGTTTAGGGTTTAGGGTTTAGGGTTCAGAGTTTAGGGTTTAGGGTTTAGGGTTTAGGGTTCAGGGTTCAGGGTTTCGGGTTTCGGGTTTAGGGTTTAGGGTTTAGGGAATCCCAAAGAGCCAAAACTTGCCCCTTAAGGACCATAAACCTTACAGCAGGTTAGGTTCTTTTTAAACGCCAAGGTACATTCTTTTTTTTTTTGCGGGGTATTGGGCTCTCTGAGGCTGCCCGCTTGAACCAGGTATTGGTTTAGGGTTTAGGTTTTAGGGTTTAGGGTTTAGGGTTTAGGGTTAGTTAGGGTTTAGGGTTTAGGGCTTAGGGTTTCGGGTTTAGGGTTTAGGGACTATTGCTATGATCGCTACATATCAGCGTTGTCATTGTTATTGCCCAGTTGCTGCTACTCGTGTACTATGCCCATTTCTCATACTCATTACCAGTACCGTTATCTTGACAGCTGTCATCATCGTTATCATGTTTGCGAGTCGGGTTGCTACACACTACGTGGGAAGAGCTAGGAAGTGTTGCCCCTTTTCCCCAAACTCTACTCGAGGACAACACAGGACCAGGGTTTTAGAGGTGTAGGCTTTCAGGCCCCTCAACCGCTGAAGCAGTAGCATTCCTAGTCGTTTAAGTTTTTTTGTAGTGGCAGACTCTAACCCCCTACCCCCCAAACCCTAAGCCCTAAGCCCTAAACCCTAAACCCTAAACCCTAAACCCTAGTTGTCCTCTTACTCTCAAGATGAACCCAAGGCCGCCAAGCAGCGGGCTGATGAGTGCTCAGCCGAGCTAGGGAGGGGTGCGATCCGATCATTCCCTGTGCCTCTTATAGGTTCAGGGTTTAGGGTTTAGGGTTCAGGGTTTAGGGTTTAGGGTTCGGAAGTTCAGGGTTTAGGGTTTTGGGAGTTCAGGGTGGCAGGGCTCGTAGGCTTAGGGTTTGGGGAGTTTAGTGTGGCCGGGCTCATAGGCATAGGGTGTGGGGAGTTCAGGGTGGCAGGGCTTTAGGGGTAATTGAGGATCTGGGTTTTGGGGCTTGTTGGGAATGCCATCGATCGACTCAAGCAGACCTGTGCTTTGAGATGCGAGCGCCTGAGCTTGGGATCCCATACGCACATTGTTCATGTACCTAAAGTGGGATGTACATACACCTGCGCAAGGACATCCACCGAACTACGTAGACTTGTACGTTCCACCTCTCTTTCAGGCGTATGGCTGCCAGAGAGTTCTGCTGCAAAGTATCCTTGGTTGCTTGTCGGTTAGTGGTAGGATGGAGATGATCGAAGTAAGCTGTTTGATCATCACATTAGCTTTGGTATGCAGCATTACTGGTATTGTACAGGAATACTTAAAGATATCTATGCCCTAAACCCTAAACCCCAAAGCCTCAACCCTAGGCTAATGTTGTACTTATGATTGTATGTATTGGTCAATCTGAGGGCCGAGCATCAAAGCCGCGAAGCCGCCATCTCCGCTCAGTTCAAGGCACGAGGGCAATGTGGCTCGGGGTTTAGGGTTTCGGGTTTAGGGTTTCGGGTCTAGGGTTTAGGAGTGGAGTTTGGGGCTTAGGGTTCCTTGAGTACACTTGCTCCCGTTGCCACGTAGGCAGCGTCTGCCAAGCTTCTTAGGTTAAAGGTGGTTCCACAAACCAACACATCCCCAAACCCTAAACCCCGTTTTTGGTCTAGGCTTTTCAAGTATGGGCCCTTAATGTGGGCCTTGTTCTATAGAACCCCCGTATAACAAGGACCGCCAATAAGGCACCCCCTAATACCCCCAAATGGTGATCTCTCTAAATCCTGGTCCCCTTCGTTCGGGGGTCCTGATGATGAGGCGCCCCTCTTCTCAAGGTTACCCAAAAGGGACGAGAATTTAAAGAGCTGACCAACCCTAAGGCCTAAACCCTAAACCCCCATCTGGAGCCATGTTTTCGGCCCAGGCCTTGGGCAAACTGTCACGGGTCCAAGCCGCCTATGCCACCTTGGAGGAAAGGCTGCGCATCCAGGAGGAGGCGATGGTGGTCCGTCACAACTAGGGTTTAGGGATTAGAGACACACACACATACACACATACACAAACACACACACACACACATACACACACACATACACACACATACACACACATACACACACACACACACACATAGTTAGTTTTAGGAGGGTCACCCACCAGTATTGTTGTCTCGAAAGTCTTCTGGAACCATTCACTCCGGGGCTTCTACGGGGCGACCCGGACCCAAAGAGGATGTTTCCGAACAGTGATCGCTACCTTTGTTTTTTTTTCCGTGAGAATTTTGTTTCGGACTTGGTGTGCGATCCAGTATTTAGGGTTCTGGAGGCCTCTCCTGGCTGGTGCTCTGCAGCAGCCTTTTCGGCCAATCCAATGAGGGGCGGCCTCCTATAAAGTGGGGCCTTGTCGGGGGCGCTTCCTGAAGGCGACTCCCACGGAGCTCGCCAGCCCAAAGATGCCGTCTCAGCCGCTGAAGCGCAAGACCCGTCGATCGACTGGAGATCGCCTCCTGCCACCGCGGCCACGGCTGCACCGCCGCCGGGTGTGCTGGCACCTGCCGGCCACGGTTGGGTTGGCACGGCCGTTCATGTGGTGTTGAGTTGAATGCCCCTGCATTTGAAAAAGTGCTGCTTTGATTTGGTGGAGTTTCCAGAGCTGCTCGTTTGTGAAATATGTGCTACAACAGATGATCTGTCAGTCTGGTTTTCTTATGAAACCATGCATTGAAAACACCCTCCGCCTAACTGCGGGGCTCCCTCTCACCTAGCTCCTCTTTCTTACGGCATCTTTCGCGCGAGAAGGCGACAGAGCAGGCCTTGAAGCGCGAGCACGAAGCAGCGACACCTGGCTGCAATTATTTAGGGTGTAGGGTTCATAGGGTTTACGGTCTAGGGGTTTGGGGGCTTTAGGGTTTAGAATTTCGGGTAGGGTGTAGGGTTCATAGGGTTTACGGTCTAGGGTTTGGGGCCTTTAGGGTTTAGAATTTAGGGTTTAGGGGTAGTTTCATCGGTTCAGAGAATGCGATACCGTGCTGTGAGAGTCTGTCAATGTTGGTGTGGGTCGCAGACTTTGCCTCACTGTCTGCTGCAGGTTTATTTGGCAGCACGAGGGGTTGTCGGATAGCTTTTGTCTTGTATTGCAGACTAGTGAAGCTGAACCCTAATTCCTAAACACTCGAATGTTGAACTTCAGGGAGCGGGAGGAAAAGCTTGCATACCTCGTTGCGGCGAAAGCTCTGGCGAAGGAGGCTGAAGCAGTGGCCGAAGTTGTGCCAACGTTTCGCCCAATTTGTACGGGGCATTGCGCTTCTCCTAGTTGTTACGGTTATGATTCTGATCATTAGTGTTAGCATAATGACCGTCATTTTCCCTAAGCATAGCTTGTAATCATTCTGATGATGATTTGTCATGATTGTTCGTCCTAGTGCCTTCTGTGGGCCGAGGGGGGTGTATGAGCTTAGGGTTCAGGGCTAGGGCACCTGCGTGAGACGTAGTCGGCCGGCTTACCCTAAACCCTAAACCCTAAACCCTCTAGAAAGTGGCAGGTGTTTCATCACCACCGCGCAGCGCAGACCCTTCTTGCCATTGAGCAGGGGGACTCCCCGGAGAAGTGGAGGTCCGAAGTTGCAGATACTGCGGGGTTTAGGGCCGTTTAGGGTTTAGGGTTTAGGGTTTATAGGGTTTAGGGTTTAGGGTTTAGGGTTTAGGGTTTAGGGTTTAGGGTTTAGGGTTTAGGGTTTAGGGTTTAGGGTTTAGGGTTTAGGGTTTAGGGTCCGCATGGTTCCGGGCTTCTGGGGGGCGCACAACGATCCATACCCTCGTTCATTATGGCTACAAACAATCATTTAGTGCTCTAGCTCTCGGAGCTCGGCCACCCAGCCGTTGAAGCGCCGCATGAAGTCCTAGTAGTAGAGTAGGTAAACTTTAACCTTTTCGGGGGTAATAGAATCCCCTTATATAATCCCAAAAAGGTTAACCTTTTTGGGGCAATAGAATCCCCTTATAAAATCCCAAAGGTTAACCTTTTTGGGGCAATAGAATCCCCTTATATAATCCCAAAAAGGGTTTAGGGTTTAGGGTTTAGGGTTTAGGGGACAACTAAGAAGTAGCCCCGGCCCGGCACTCGTGTGACAGCTTGTTGCAGCTCCAGCTCCCTCTTTTGCAGATCCACGATGTCCCACAGTTGTTGCCTAAACCCTAAACCCTAAACCCTAAATAGATCTCGGGGGCACTGTAGAATGCTAAGCATCAACGTAGCTCGAGGCAGAGATTCCGCAGATGCTCCATCTGTCTTTGCAAACTTAGGGTTTAGGGTTTAGGGTTTAGGGTTTAGGGTTTAGGGTTTAGGGTTTAGGGGTTAGGGTTTAGGGGTTAGGGGTTAGGGTTTAGGGTTTAGGGTTTAGGGTTAAGGTTTAGGGTTTAGGGTTCAGGGTTTAGAAACCCTTGTACGTGCTGTACGCCAGGATGGCCCTCGATGTGCTGAACGACGGTCCCGATCAACTCAGGTGGGTAGCCCTAAACTCGAAAGCCTAAACCCTAAACCCTAAACCCTAAACCCTAAACCCTAAACCCTAAACCCTAAACCCTTGCACGTTGGAGTCTGCGGCCCTGAGCCCGGACATCGGGGTTGTTCTAACGGGGCCATTGGGAGCAAGAGCCCCTGAACAGGGGAATCCGTGCAAAAGCGGGAGCCTGGCTGAAGCCTTATAGGTTACTTTCCTAGTTGTAGAGTAGGCAACCTTCAACCTTTTTGGGGTAATAGAATCCTCTTATAATCCCAAAGGTTAACCTTCAATTCCCCCAGGCTTCTGGACAACTAAGCTTTTGGGACACCAGTTTGAACAACCCTAAACCCTAAACACTAAACCCGAAACCCTAAACCCTAAACGAATACAGATCGGGTCGAGGCCTCGGTGTGCAAGAGGCAAGAGGGTCAAAGGATGCTCCTGGGCAGATCTACCTGGAGGTTCATTGGTACTTAGTAACTAATTGTAACTGTATTTACAACCCACTTATAAGCCCCTTAAGTGCCCTAATATGCTTAGAAGTACAGATGCAAGTACAGTTAGAATTAACCTCCAAGTCTCTCCTACTAAGATATGGTCCCCAGTAGGGTGCGTGAAATAGAAGCCTCCGCATGGCTAGGAACACCCACGAGCTAGGGGACCCCGATTTAAGAGAGCTGAGCCGCCAGGTCGGACGTCCGCCTTGAGGTGGCCAAGTTGGCCACGCAATGGCTTGCCCAATTCAGGCTCGTCAGCCTCCCGAGCTGCAAGATTTCCGCAAAGGAGACGGCATGAAGGTCCCCATATCCTATATCCCCCTTGGGTATTATTTTTTTTAAGGTTCTAAGGGGAGCAAAGGAGACGGTATGAAGGTCCCCATATGAAGTACGGTTTACATTGCTGTTTTTGGTGGTTCCTCTTACCGGCTGTCCTTTTGGGGGTACAAGAAATATATGCCCTACTTCATATCAAACTTTTAAAATTTAGGAATCCGAAAAGAACACGACAGCTGGCTCTCAAGGAGGATCATTCTCAGGCAACGGTAACATCCCTTGATGTTGATTGCTGGTCGTGAGAGGAAGGGCGAGGATTTGTCTAAAGTGGTGTCCGAAGGGGGATGCAGCCCCCAACCTCCCCCAAACTCCCTGAACCCCAAACCCTAGACCCCCTAAACTCCCCCCGCCCACCCTAATGGAAGAACCGAAGAGCCATGCCGAGATGCATTTATGTTACGGCATTTCGCGACGTGGGACAAACTAAGCAGAGACGGCGCTTGAAACCTCCTCCGCGCAGGTTGCAGGAGGGAGAGGAGTCATTGCAGGCGCGGAACATTCCGTCACAACAAAGAGAGCTTCGTACACGATGAGCATCTCACGGTTAATAGAGAAAGGGCCCCGAAACCCTAAGCCCTAAATCCTAAACCCTACACCCGAAACCCTAAGCCCGAACCCAGCTTTGCTTGAGATTGATGTTGCAGGAATCTGTTGGGGACAAGACCCTTGCGGCCATGAAGGACTTTTGCTGCCTGAGGAGTTTTGTGTTGCTACTTAGAGGTTCATGGTACTTCTCCTTGGTTAAGGTTTAGCGTTCAGGGTTTGGGGTTTAGGGTTTAGGGTTTAATTAGGGTTTAGGGGTACTTCTTAACCATTTATATCTGTACTTATAGCCCCTCAAGTGCCCGAATATGGTTGCAAGTACAGGTACAATTGGTTATTACCAAGTAGCCCATGCGCGGCGATGCTTTTTTGATGGTCATTTGCAGCTCTTGGCACCAACATAGCCCTAAACCCTAAACCCTAAACCCTAAACCCTAAACCCTAAACCCTAAACCCTAAACCCTAAACCCTAAACCCTAAACCCTAGGTAGGGCCAATCGAAGACTTCCCCGCAAAAATCGCCTTCAAGTTTGTGAGGACTTCGTGGATGGCTCGGTTGTTTGCTCAGCCATGATGCGCACACAGCCTCATAGACTTGGGCCTAGGCGTTGCGAAGGGTATGCTGACCTGTGTCTCAGCATACCGAGTCGACTTTCTAAACCCTCTGACTTGGGATGTTTCCTCTTATACCAACAGTCTTTAGTAGGGATTATGATAGGGGGTACTATAATCACTGTTGAGGACTGCTAGTATGGAGCGGAACATCCCAACCACCCTGTAACACTAAAGAACCTCCTCTCCGGCATAAGTTAGGGGTCTGTAGGAGGATGGCTCTCCAAAGGGCAAGAGGCCAGGCGAATCGTTGAACATATCCTCTAAATCCCAGCCAAAAACTCCTAAAACCTCCTAAACCCACAAAACTTGCCAAAAACTCCCCCCCCCCAAAAGAAAAAAAGTGAAACCCGTAATCTTCCCTAAAAGCCCCAAATGCTCAAATGCTTTCCTGCCACTGCAGCTTATCCATTTCCAGTCCACGCCGCCCTTGCGAGCCAGCGGCCGATCGAGGCGCGTGGGATAGGTTTTAGGGCGGTTTAGGTATAGGGGTAGGGGTTAGGGTTTAGGTTTTCGGGTGGTTTAGGGTTCAGGGTTTAAGGTTTAGAGTTGAATCGTACTAAGATTAGGTGCTCTCATCCGTTTCAACCGAAGAACTCGAGTTGCATAAGCTTGCGAGCAAGAGGATGCATGAGCACAGCTGCCGACACTGCACAGACTGCACTTGCTCAAGGTTCCGGTTTTCCTCTTGCCTGGACCTTCAAGCGGTATCTGGAGGGTGGGGAACTGCTCCGGACATACCCCGCAGCTTCCACAAACCTTGAACCTCATCACCTGCCTTGAACTATATCCCCCTTGGGAATTAAGTTTTCTTTTTGTTTATATAAAGCCCAAGAGGATATTAACAATACTATTTTTATCAAGGTTCTAAGGGGAGTATAGTGAACCCGCCCAGGACATGCTTCCGACCGCGGAGCCCGGTTCTGCCACCAGGCAGGATTCGTCGTTGCAATCGCCCGAAGACTGCCATGAAATGTGTTGCCCTTGCCGAGGTTAAAGAGTAGAAGTGAAGTAACAAGTTGTATTCTCACCTCAACTATCTGACATCCGGTGCAGCTGCGCTCAGAAAGCAAGTCCACAGCACGGGAGGTGGTAGCCCATAAGCTGCCCCAAATCTGACCATCCTGCCTACTCCCTTCCCCCAAATTTTAAGCCCCCCCTACCCCCTGATGTTGAAACAATCCTCTTATAGCGATATTATGGCTTCTGGGGGTAGGGGGAGGGACTACAGCAGATGCCAAGAGGTCTTCCAGCGAGAAGCCGTCACCTCACCCGAAGCGGCCGCGCGTGTCCTTCACGACGGCAGCCTGCCTGCACATGTTCGGCTGCCCCTTCGGTGTGCAGCATTTCAGCATGTAGTATGTCAAGCTTCGAAGCAATGTTCGGCCTGCGAGTGCTGAAGTACATCTTTCTTGCATGTCGGAAAGAGCCTGACATGAGTTTTGCGTGCGACGCTCGTATCTACATGGGCCAAGAGCAGAAAGCACGATGAAAAACATGCGCATGAGCACCTCTGCAGCTGATCTCCTAACAGACTTCACCCTCACAGGTGAGCATGCGGACGTTCAGCGATGGCGCTGACCCGCAGGAGCTCTCTAGCCCAAAGGAGCGAGCTGCTTGACGTTCAAAGTATTCCTGTCTAATGTGGTCCTTGTCATCTCATCCCTGAAGCCCCGATGAAAGTCGAGAGTGGTCGAGGGGCCCCCAGGCATTCCCCATCACAGCCCAGGCATTGTCGCCCATCCCCGACGGCCGAGCTGGCGCGGAAGAGGGCGAACTTTCCGGTGAGGCCTGGACGCTGCAAAAGGGAGCAACAGTCACTCACAAGTGGTGAGAAAGGTCACTGCCAATGTGGAGAGTCTGCCACGGCCTCGGTCAGTTGCCACCTTGCTTGTGTTTGCAAGCCTTGTGCGGATGGGCTGTGTTTGTGCAGAGCTGCTTTTCGACCTTCAGGCTCCCACCCGTTGTGTCCCGCGAGCCTGCACAACCCTATTCTTCTTCTTCTTCTTCTTCTTATGATTATGATTATGGTTATGATGATGACGATTATTAATCTTATTATGGTTATTATTATTATTACGATTATTCTTGTTATTATGATGATTATTAATATGATTATTTCCACTTGCTTTCTCAACCACAAGGTCCCGACTGGTACTGGAAGATGAGCTGGATGATGTGAGGACCGTGCTGACAGGGCAGGGCCACGCGCCCACACGCGCACGCGCACAGATGCGATTACACTTCGGGTTTGGGGTTTGGGGTTTGGGGTTTAGGGTTTAGGGTTTAGGGTTTAGGGTTTAGGTTTAGAGGTTAGGGACACAATATCACGCATATGTATGAAGCAATCAATCGAGAGACATGTGGTGACATGACGAGCGTGGTGAACAAGAACAAACACCAAAGCATGATAAGAGCCCATAGCTGGAGGTCGTCGGGACTAGAGACCATCACTCTTGAAGCCCGCAGCTAGAAGCATGACCTTTTGTAATATTCCCTTATGGTCCCTTTTGTAAATATACTATTAGTGATCCCCCATAATCCTGTTCAAATTATTAAGGCCCCTATATTATGCGTTTGGCTGCCAGGAGCAAGCAGGATGACACGGAGATGAAACCGGCACTTGAGCCGCTCCCGGAGCAGGCCGCATTGAAGTTGGGACAAGACACGCCAATCCGGACGCCAACCGCAGAGCTGGAGACATCTCCCCTTCCAGAGAGCTGGGACTTGTACAAGCAGTTCAAGGGTAGACTCTCGTCTAAGGTTGGCATCGTTTGTGTCCTCTTGTGCTCATTGTGGGAAATTAACCGCCTGGTGGTGTCTTAGAGTTCACTGCTGAATCAAAATACATGACATGTGATAAAGGTTTTAATATGTTCTCTTCATGAACAGCCCAGGTCAGGCCGCACTGAACAGCAGCCAAGGGGCGACAGCGAGTCAGAACCCCCAGAACCCTCAGTGCACCCCGAGTACCGCGGGTGCTCCCAGCATGGCGCAGTATACGGCGCCTGCGCCCGTGCCGAAGATGAGCCCTGAGCTGAAGTCAACTACCTCCATCTCTGCCCGGAGATTTAGCCCAGAGCAGCTGCTGCAGAAGGGCGGCCGAGGAGCCGCGGCAGCCGCTTCGCTTCGAGCCACAGCAGCACCGCCCCTGCCATCATTTTCCAGCAAGGTCTCTTAGAAAATTGAGCGAGTGCACTTTACACTTTTTGAGATACTATAATCCCCTATGATAGGACTGAAAGTGCACACTTTTGTGGGGCTTATGAACTCAGCAACTAAGGTCTCCATCAACTCCTCGCCGAACAACGCCTTCAATCGGGGCCGGTCTCCAGACACGGTGGACATGAGTGGTGTTGTCAAGTCGATTCAGATGGGCCCCATCAGCCGTGGTCCTGATGACGAGAAGGAGTCAGAAGTGCCCGAAGGCCGCAAGTCCTTTGTTGCTTGGCCAGTTTGGAATTGTGTTGCCAAGGTTTTGGAGCTCTTTAGCTTCAGAATTGTGCTCTCGCTAAACAGCTGCACATCGCAAAGGCCACATTTCAGAGCAACGAGCCTTGTCCAGAGCTATTCGCTCTAAAGCAGGCGGGCGAGTCATGTGCCCTAAACCCTAAGCCCTATACCTTGTACCCAATACCCCATACCGGCTTAGGGTTTAGGGAGTGCCACTCCTCATCGTTCCACAGACCATTGCGCGATGCAAGCGACATGTTCACGCTATACACCAAGCAGCGAGTGACTTTTCTTTACAGCATTGTGCACGGCATCTCTCGGTATACATATCTATGAATACTCAATTTGCTGGGATTTGATATATACTGCGTGCATAAACAGAGCAACAAAATTAATATTACATAATTTTAAAAGTTATTATACTGTATCTCATACATTACATATTATATATCCCCCCTGGTATCAGGCTTCCGTCGATGCCGGGGCCAGCTCCTTATTAAGAATGTAAGAATCGACTGCGCTTTTTCTCCTGATGTTCAGCAAAAAATCCTACACTCCGGTTGGGCTTACCCCATAAATAGAAACAGTCCTTCTCGGGTCCTTGGCTGGTACGGTTAGTAGGTGGCAAATCCAAAAACTCCAAAGAGGATCGGGCCAGGAGGTTTTGGTGCTTGACCTTTTCACTGCTTTTTGGTTCCTTTGGAGAAATTCAGAACAACACATTGTTGTTTGTTTAACTTCCGCTCTCCGAAACACCTGAATGGAACGACGCACGTGGTTGTTTTGTATTCTTGTGAAATTCAATACCCTTACCAAAGCAAGGCCAGATACCCTCCCCTCTAGCTGGAATCATCGGGGGGAAGCGGGAGGATGCATACATTTGTTTTGCAAATACACATGTACACAACGTATACGTTTGTACACCAAGTCCTCAGTAAACCCTTAATTACAGTGCCCTCAAGACCTCGTGGGGGATATTTCGGAGAAATCTCCTTAAACCCGAAACCCGAAACCCTTGACCATTAAAGCCGAAACCCTAAACCCTAAACCCTAAACCCTAAACCCTAAACCCTAAACCCTAAACCCTAAACCCTAAACCCTAAACCCTAAACCCTAAACCCTAAACCCTAAACCCTAAACCCTAAGGTAAGTCTCGCGCGGCAGGCTTCGCGTCGACTCCAGGAGCCCAAGAACCTGACCTTCGCCATGCGCCGGCATCAGCACCACAGGAGTGGCCACGCCTAAGTCGGTTTAGGGTTTAGGATTTAGGGTTTAGGGTTTAGGGCTTAGGGTTTAGGGTTTGGGGATGTTTGGGGTTTGGGGTTAAGCGTTAAGGGGTGTAGGGTTTAGGGTTTAGGGTTTGGGGTTTAGTAAGGTTTAGGGTTTAGGGGTTTAGGTTTTCGGGTTTAGGGTTTTGGGTAGGCCCTGGGGCTATTCATAGGACTTATAGGATCTTATAGGGGAGTTTCGGTTTGTCGAGATGACGTGTG